TTCCCCGTCCAAACACTGACAACAGACACCATAGCCAACCATACAAGACTAGACGACACCAGTCTGTCTGAACGTGGAACTTATTATTTTAAACTCAAACAGGCTTTTTATATAATACACACTGAGACTGATCACATGATCATATGCAAACGCAGCTATATACAGAAATAGACTTAACACTCTAAACCAGCGGGTCGCGACCCCTTTGGGGGTCGAACGACCATTTCACAGGGGTCGCCTAAGACCATCTGAAAACACATATTTCCGATGGTCTTAGGAACCGAGACACCGCTCCTCTGTCTAGGCGATGTGTGGGCAGGATGACATGCTGCCCCTGTCACCTGGCCACACCTCTGGGATCACTCAACAGCTCCGCCTCCTCGCCGCTGATTGGTCACCGGAACTGTAGCTCAGGAGAGGCACACAGGCGGCCAATCACCGGCGAGGAGGTGGAGCTTGGAGAGGAGGAGCCGAGCGGCAGCACGCGTAGATCACAGAAGATCGAGGGAGCTGCCGGAGCAAGTGAAGAGGAGAGCGGCCAGAGAAGGAAGACAACTGACAGGTAAGTGCAAATTTTGCTGCTGTAGATGGGAGAGGGAGAGAGCGAGCCCAGGCTGGAGCAGGGGTCAGCAAGGTAAGTATCATTGGTGTCAGTGGGAGGAATAGTGCCCCATCATTTGTGTCACTAATACCAACGATGGGGCACTATTTCTCCCCCCACTGACACCAATGATGGGGCACTATTCCTCCCCCCACTGACACCAACGATGGGGCACTATTCCTCCCCCCACTGACACCAACGATGGGGCACTATTCCTCCCCCCACTGACACCAACGATGGGGCACTATTCCTCCCCCCACTGACACCAACGATGGGGCACTATTCCTCCTCCCACTGACACCAACGATGGGACACTATTCCTCCTCCCACTGACACCAACGATGGGGCACTATTCCTCCCACTGACACCAAGAATGGGGCACTATTCCTCCCCCCACCGACACCAACGATGGGACACTATTTCCCCCCCCCCCCCCCACTGACACCAATGATGGGGCACTATTCCCCCCCCTTACCCCAATGATGGGGCACGATTCTTCCCACTGATACCAATGATGGGACACTATTCACCCACTGACATCAGTGATGGGGCACTACTCCTTCCACTGACACCAATGATGTGGCACTAGTCCTCCCACTGCAAAGTTACAGTTATGAAGTAGCAACGAAAATAATTTTATGGTTGGGGGTCACCACAACATGAGGAACTGTATTAAGGGGTCGCGGCATTAAAAAGGTTGAGAACCACTGCTCTAAACAGTAAGTTAATTAGGTTAGCTAGCTGGGTGACAAACAAAAGGTGAATGGGAATTCACACCTAGACAATAGTTTGATGAATTAGGATCTCACTACAGAGCAGATGGTTCCTCTCCTACACTGGAGTAGAGGAGAGTGTGATCAGCTCTTTCAATTCACATGTCTAGTTCAGAATCAACAACCAGGAATAGTCTTCATATGGTGGCTAATAAATATTACTGTCCCATCTGAAGTAATTCCAGCCGCATTCTCAGCGTCCATTTGTCACCCTTTGCCTCTAAGAGACACAGGATGACTTGCACATTAGAGGGATATGGGGAGCTGAGACAGGGGTCTTCCAACCTCTGCAAAGTAAGCTGGGTTCCATGAGCCCCCCACCCAAAGTGACTCCCGTCACAGTCATGGGTGGGGGGGAGAGATGGAAAGGCTTTTTACAGGTATGGGTACCAGGGGCATATTCAATTCACCTGAATCCTTCATTACTAGTCAGCCTTGAAAAAAAGTCTCTGCACTCAGAGCCTGTCATGTGTCACAGCATGCTGCTTGCAGTGACATTAATTTCTGCACAGTAAAGTGTGGGATAGAACTTCATCGTTTTTGCAGTTGTTTTGTTGCTGGTGCCTGTTACACTGTGCTAGTGTGTGCAAACCGCAGAAACAAAGATATGCTGACATGATTGCAGAGCTGTCAGCAAATCTCCATACATGGGGCCTGCAAACAGTAGCAGTGTTTTCAACTCCAGCAACTAAACAGTGTTGGACACAAGGAGCTCATATGCTGCACTTTGGCAGTACAGAGCAGGTAGTGAGATAGTTGCACACAGCAAGTAGAACTCTGTGGAATGGGGGCAGACTTTGAGAGCAGTGACTTTTCAGGCCGACGAGTGGCAACGCAAAAGTTCAGCGATAGGGAAGGGTGGCATTAGCTGGCATTTGTTGGAGTGGGGGACAGCAGTGTTGGATGGAGGAAGCAGAGTTAGATTGTGGGAATAGAGCCACTGGTGCTAGAACAGAGAACTACAGCTGTATGCGTGGCTCTAATGTCAAGACACAGCTCAGTCTGAAAAGTGGAACTGCACCGCCAAATTCAGGACAGTTGATAAGTGTGGTTGTGATGCTGTATTTAGAGAAAGCCTCTTATCTATTTTTGCCTAGACAACATCTGAACCAGAAAAACTCGACTCTGGCTACCTTAGAAAAATGTACATTTTGAAAACTGCCAAGTACTGGACTGGCCAATACATGTTATTTGTACATACTGAGACATACATGAATGCTGCATGACCAAAATGGAGATATAAATTTTATTCATTTCGCCATATACAGTAGGCGTGGTTCCAACACTGGTTAATTGTCATTCTGGGAGAAATTTCTTGCACTTTTATAAATTTGAGGAACATAACCATAAGCCCTTTAATATTAAGTCACATGACATAGTGTTCAGATGGTGTCTGAGAACACAGAGCCTTTTCAGTATTGGCAGGGACAGTTTTTCTGATTAGCTATCCTATATATATCGCAAGTATACAGAAAAACAAACAAAACTGCGCTAGATACATAAAACAATGCAAATCCTAAAAAATGAACATAAATGAATAAAATTCAAAATTGTTGCCACTTCCAATAAATCAATGAAAGACAAAACTTACAAATATTGCACAGTGGCTGGACAGTATGTAAGTAGCTTATATAGGCTACAATATAATAGGGGAGAGATGCGTTTTATCTTTAAACAAACAAGTGTATTATCCTGGGAGACAATAGCGACAAATTATGTACAAAGGTTGGGCAGTATGTAAGCAGCTTGGTTAAGCTTCAGTTTAGGAAGGTAAGACAAAGCAGGTTTTATCTTGAAATTAAAATGATAGTGTATTATCTAAAAGACAATAGCCACAAATAGTGTACAGGGACTGGGCAGTATGTAAAAAGCTACAGCGCCAAAGTACTGTTTTGTAGATTGCCCTGCCCATGAGTACCTTTCCCTTTTTGACTTTTTCAAACAGATCCGAGCTGTTGCTGTTGTTGATTTTTCTATGTCTGTATAGCAGCTAAACAACTACAGCTGTTGCTCTCATACACAAAAATGTTGAGTCTATAAACTGTGAATGGTGGGGAGGGGTATGCAAGAATATGTAGCATACCACACTGCAATCCATAGTAATTTAGAGCAATAAAAAATAGGGGGAGATTTACTGTAACTGGTGTACATAGAATTTGCTGCACCTGTGCAAAGTAACCAATCCGCTTCAAGGTTTTATTGTCAAAGCCTAAGTGAAGAAGCTGAACCTATAAACTGTTTGGTTACTATGCACAGCAGCACCAGATTCTGTGTGCACCAGTTTTAGCAAAACTTCTCCATAGTATATATATATCAACTAACTCTCTCCATACAGTTAGCTCTCCCTAAGCAACTTCAACACACACAAACAAATCACTGCCGGGAACACACTCTTTAAGTGAGAGGGCTGGCACATAAAAAGCCCTTACTATTGGCGATTCTAACCCTTCTGGCTATACAGCTGAAAATTCAGGAAGGCTTTATGTGTCCTTTAAAATTCGGCCTGGTGAATTTCATCATAAATTACCCAAAACTGCCAACCCTGAACCCCCAACTTCACTATGTCAAAACCACAGCTCATCCCTACCCAGAATGGGATACAGCCAATTTTCAGTGTGCTCATTGTGATATAGTTATTGCAAAAATAGTAGATTATTGTTTGGGGGCTTTAGTTGTTCTGAGCCCTAGGTCAAAAAAGAGGGAGGATATGTGCCGGAAGACCGGGAATACAGGTTGAGGGTATTTATATTTCCCCGAGGTGTGAAAACTCCAAAGTAAGCCTTTTTGGCTTTAAAAGGAGGCTATTTGCATTACTATGTTTTCTGTAAAACCGATAGTAAAAGTGTGCTGCCTGGGGCAAGTCAAGGTCTTGGATCTACCAGGCACAGCAAAGCCTTTAAACTTCTGGGGTTTTCATGTTTTTTGAAGTTGACTAATTTTATAGTCTCTGAATCCTTGGGAAGAAGCCATCTATGGCAGGCTGCAGAAAGTTTGTAGCAGCAGCCCCGAGAGAGCTTGAAATTAGATCCAGAAGCAAGGAAAATGACATGGTCACACTTGGTCACTTCTTATGCTTATTTGGAGCATATGCCAACTGTTCCTATGTAGAATGCACTTGGTATACTAGTATTTTTCAAAAAACACGCAATAGGGTGAAATTATTTTATGTGTGCCAGGAATTTCCATCTCCCAGTCTTTAAAACTTTTCTTTCCAAATGGTGCATCCAAAAGCAGATACAAAAATAACATTATAAACATTTCACATTTGTATAATAAGGCTCTAGTTTATTCTCCCAGTTGTAGAATATTTAGGTGCTTCTTTACCTGCACACTGGGAATAGAACAACACATGTTTTCATAGAACTAAAATAAATGTCAACATTTTGATTAAATTGTTTTTTTTTTTGCAGGTGCAGTAAACGTACCTGGAACAATGGCCACAGACAGTATTCCAACAACAGATTACTTTGATTATGATCATTCTGGCACAATTTGCGAAATGGACAGTATCAGAAAGTCATTGAAAATATTTGGCCCTATTGCCTTGTCCTTAATATTTATTTTTTGGGCTAGTGGGTAACATACTGGTTGTTGTGACCTTCAGCTGCTACAAGAAAAGTAAGACTATGACGGATATCTTTCTCTTAAACATGGCAATAGCAGACTTACTGTTTATCTTTACTCTTCCATTCTGGGCTGTGTATTTGGAAAAGAACGAATGGATTTTCGAGGATGTTATGTGCAAATTAATTAAAAGCATCTACACAATTAATTTCAACTGCAGCATGCTGTTATTAGCTTGTGTGGGTATTGACCGATATGTAGCCATTGTGCAGGTAACAAAGTCGTTTCGACTCAGAAATGTTGCATTGAGTCATAAAGGAATGATCTGCTTAGCAGTTTGGATTGTGGCTACCTGCTTCTCCAGCATAACATGCATATTCAGTGGGGCTTACAAATCAGAAATCAGTCAGTCCACGGTTTGTGAAGCACTTTACCCACATAATTTTTCAGCATCCAACTGGAAATTTGCAGTTATAGCTGTGGAAGTCGGTGCTGGGTTTTTGATTCCATTTATTGTTATGCTATTTTGCTATACATGTATAATTTTGACATTGCTACAGGCAAAAAATTCCCAAAGATACAAGGCAATCCAAGTAATTGTGACTGTAATGATTGTTTTTCTAGTTTGCCAGGTCCCATACAATCTGACACTTTTGGTAAAAGCTAATAATTTGTTACAGAGACATGGCATGACATGTCCTCAATTAATAGCAACAGAGTATGCACTCCATAGCACAAGATTGCTAGCTTTTTTTCACTGTTGTCTAAATCCAGTCATTTATGCCTTCATTGGGGTAAAATTCCGAAATTATTTTATGAAAGTAATGCAAAACGTGTGCTTTTTGCATAAGTTTCCCCTGTCTAGAACACGGAGCTCCAGGTTATTCTCGGATATGTACCCATCAAGGAGGACAAGTGAGGTATTTCCAAGTGATGGTGCTTCATCTTTCACAGTATAGGACAAAAGCAGTGAGGCATATCTTCCCTGTTCACATATAAGATATCACAATAACCAAGATGCACTGTACAGTAAATCCATTTTTTCTTGTAGCTTCCCATGAAAATCATAGCAGATACTTAATATTTTTTTTAGATTTTTATGTATGTTGGATATACATATAGAAGAAACAAACCTTGTTGCAAGCAACATGATGTAGTAAAATGAAATGCTTAACAGGGATAGGGTTGAAAACGGCTTACAAGTTATTGTTACTGATTACTTCTTTCTCTTCCTGATGGCAACTGCTTCCCTCACTTTTTGCTGTTGTCATGCTGTCAAAAGGACTGGATTGGAGATGACTTTTCTTTAACAAGGTCAAACATAGCAATTAAAAAAATTAGATATCCTACCACCAGAAAAAAGGGGGTTCACTATTTTTTTAATTGCTTCTGTTTGAGATCCACATTCATTCATTTATTCAGCAGCAACAGTAGTGCCCACATCTTTTCCCCAATACCAAATCTAATGTTTCCGAGATATCAGCATTTAAGGACATGTGGACATGAATATATTTTGTGTGGTTTGAGTCACAATGTCAGGGTTCACCTGCTTGGGGTAAGGCTACAAACAAAATCTAAAATAGCATTTCCCAGTTTTTTGTTTTGTGTGTGTTTAGGGGTTGGAGTGGTTCTGTGTTACTATATAAATGGATCTCCAGCAAGGGATTACATTTAGTTGTTGTCAGAAACTACCTACATTATCTAAACTACATACAATCATGTCTCGGTTATTATACTTGCAACATGTTAAAACGCCACAGTATTGTGGTCAATTTTCACATCTTCACACAATTTTTCTGGGCTGCTGTAAAACAATGACAACTTTAAAAAAAAAGGATTACATGAGTCATGTCACTCAAATACAAAAGCACACAACTGATCTACAATATGTAGTAAACAAAAAGTTGTTTGTCCTTTCTCTTGTGGGCAAGAACAATAGTTCATGCACTTTCTCCCTGTGTTTATAGTACCTATAGCAGCTTTATGCACCCTCTATGACATAACATGAATGGGTGATGGTATACATAGCTGCAAGCTTGGTGTCTTCACAGTAGGGTATGAGCAAAACTAACCAAAATTTGCCCTATAACAGGGAAATGCAGTTATAGTCAATGGAGAACGCAAAGTTACTGTGCATTTAAAATGAAAACAATAGCCACATGATCAACAAGTCTTTGCTTTAGCTGCCAATTGCAAGTGTATTTGTAAATTAATGTTTTTGTTTTTAATAAATTTTTTTGTTGGGAGTTTTTTTTAGCTAACAGAAAGAAATAGTTAAAATAGCAACCAGAAAATTTTTAGAGACCACAATATAAGAATTGTATTTTATTAAAGTTTCTTGTAACATATAACAATACATTTTACCAAATAGATGAGAAAAAAACCATTGTGCACGCAATCTAACATTTTCAAGCTGCAATTTGGAATATGGAGAGAAACACAAGCAGTGTTACAAATTGCTGCTCTATTCACTTTTTTCCATGGTCTAAAACAGTGGTCTCCAAACTATGGCCCGGGGGCCAGATGCGGCCCTTTGCTTGCTTTTATCCGGCCCTTGAGGCACAATTTCATCCACTGATAGCTACAATGGTGTATCATTTCCCCACTGATACCAATAAAGGGGCACAATTCCTCCAAATGACACCAATAATTGGGCATTGTTTTTTTTCAACTGACATTGGGACCTTTTCTACTCACAATGGCCACAGTCCGGCCCCCCTAAAGTCTGAAGGGCAGTAAATTGGCCCTTTGATTAGAAAGTTTTGAGACCCCTGGTCTAAAATACCTCAAATACCATAATACGCCAACATTTATTGTTGGGCATTTATTTTTAGATTTTTATTATTTACATAATGCACAATCACTTATTATGATATGATTGTGCATGTGCCTTTGATCCTTTTATTTGTGTTTTTCTCTAACCTTTGGCATATGTTATTATTTTCCACATAAAGAAAAAAATTAACTGAAAATAGAACATCAGGCACATTCTTTTGTTACCCTCTCTAAATTTTACATGTCTCCTAGGAAAGGACCAAAAAACATTTAAAAACATTTTGACTTATTTTTGGGATATATATATAACCCATAAAAAGTAATAAGGACATATTTTTCCTCCTATATTAAGCAGTCTGCTAATAAGTACATTTGTGAATTTCCATTGTTCTTGACCTGCTCTGATTGATATGAATGGGATCTATTACCTAGAAACCCATTTATATTTAACAAAGGCTTTTTTAGGTAAACAAAACCCCATTCAATGTAATAAGATGAATAGATTTGTGTAAAACAATAAGACTAATTCATATGTAAAACATAGCCAAGCATGAACATGATTTTGAGCCAGTCACCAGTTCCCTGGAAGTGGTAAATAATAAAAAAAAACTCCTATAAGTTAATTCATATTAAATGATAAACAAATAATAATAATAATTGTATATTTTAGATGATGAGTAAGTGGTATTTATTAAGCTCATCTGCTACATTAAATTAGATCAGTTGCAAACAATTTATCTTCTGGTTTAGATTAGAAAATCTGCATATTAAAACATCTCCCAGTTTAGAGAAAACATGTGGTTTCCCATTTCTGGATAAAATTGGGATTGGGTAATTGCTAAATTGGGATTGGGTAATTGCTATCTGCCTGCCATGTGAATCCCTTGAGTCCAAAAATAAATACACAGAATTTTGACTTCACTTAGGCTGGCCATAGGGTGGGCCGTTTATCGGCCGAATTGTCGGCTGATAAATGAAAAATCGGTCGCCGCTATTGCCCATGCTGCCACCATTGTCCACAAAAAAACGCTGTTTTTCGTGGATTTTCCAGCATGACCGATAAACATAAACAAGAAGATCCCCGAAAAATGGGCGACGGGTGGGCCCCACTAACGGCGAGAATATCGGCCGATTTTTCAGGCGGACGAAAAATCGGCCGATAAATGACCCGTCTATGGCCTGCATTACTGCCTACTGTTGCAGGTCAGTGAAACAGAATTTCCCTCTATCACCTGACATTGCAGAGACGCCCCAGGCTCTGGAAGGATCCCAACTATATTAACGGGATCTGTGCAGCAGGCAGCTGGAGCCATTTGCGTCTGCCCCATCCCCTGCTGGCATTCCAGCTATAGCAGACTGAGAACTGAGTGATCAGCTGTCACCACTGAGTTGACACGGAACAGCTGCAGTATTACACCAATGCTGAAGCACAGAGGCATTTATGGATGTTTATTTAGAAGCCCATACTTCTCCTTTAAGTATTTCATCATACAAGTTTGAGTTACCAAACGAACCAGTATTAGATTAGGATTACTTAAAGGGTACCTCCACTTTCATGGGAAGTAATATAAAGAAAAAAATATATACTGTATATCATACACCATTGTAACATAAGCCATATTACAATTAAAAGTGTTACTAAATCCACAACAGTAAATATGCAGTAAAGCATTCATGTTATACTCAATATGGAACAGAAGGGGTTAATCCTTCACATTGTGTAAAAAGGATGCTTGATCTTGTCTTCTCTGATCCTCTCCTTCTTCTGCTGTCCCCAGTTCATCAGAGCCTTGGGGCAAGCTGCACATGCTCACTTTGGTGTGTATTGCTAGAAAGTGTTTGTTTTTTTCTCTTGGGGGAGTGCATGTGATCAGCACATGGTCAATAAGCACTTTCCAGACAGTGGTCATGCAGCCTCACAGAACAATCAGGGGAGAATGAAAACTCCTCCTACAAGTTTTAACTAGTGCTCTGCTAGACACTGATAGAATTCACAAGACTGCTCTAACTACTGTTGAGAAAAGATATTTAGCAGTTTATAGTTACCACAATAATTTAATTTACATGTTATGTGTATTGTGGGAGACCAGATAGAGTGAATGCTGGGTCCGCGGTTTAGTAACACTTTAATGTTATAAAAATTACCTTCCTTTTCAATCTGCAACCACTGTATTATTTTGTAAAATTCAATGTAATATGGCAACCTGCAGGCATTCTGTATACAGATGTTTTTCGAAACACCCGTAGAACTGCCATTTGCTGCTTCTGAGATTGGCTAACTGTTTTTCCCGGAAGTCTGCACTAAGATACAATTCAGATTTTAGGCATCCTCTGCAACAAAAAGTTCATTTTTCATGAGATGCTCCTAAAGGGTTAATCACTTCTAAAAAGGTATGTAGGCCCTGTGACTCAATGATGAAAAAATCACTCCCATAGAGAATCAATGTCCAAAAGACATAGCATAACAAACGTTATTCTTTCATTGGAGAAACAAGCAGAAATCTGCAACAAAGTTTATTACAATCCTTACAAAAGTAGAGTTAAGTAGAACTACATCCTAGCCTGTTCCCTGTGTAGCAGTAATATATCATAAAACAGCACCACACTGCTCTCAGTTTGCAGAAGCAGGTCAGCAATATAGGCTTAAAGGGTAACTCCACTTTCGTGGGGAAAAAATAGCAAATGATTCATAGTGTAATTGAATGTTATTAAAAATTACCTTTCCTTTTCAATCTGCAGCGCTGTAATTTTCTGCAAAATGCAATGCAATATGGCTACCTGGAGGTATTCTGTACACAAAAAGTGTACAGAACGCCCCCAGACACATCATTTCCTACTTGTGTGATTGGCTCAGTGAATTTCCCAGAAATCTGCACTAAGACACAAGTTAGACTTTAAGCATCCCTTGTAAATTTCATTCTTCGTAAGATATTCCCAAAGGGAAATCACATCTAAAAGGGATGCAGACCTTGTCACTTTCTTCATTAGAGCCCTGCAGGTGCAGCAGTTGATTGATAATTATGAAGCCACTCCATACAGATTTACTTTGCACATGGACACAAACAAACAATTACTTCTTCTGAATAACAAAAAGTAGGAATCTACAACAAACTGTGCTAAAATCCTTGTGATGTACATACTGTAGTTCACACAGAGTGGAATGTTTTTTTTTCTCAACCAAAGT